GGGACTTGATCCCAGGACCCTGGGATCATGACCTGAGCTGAAGGCAGTCGCTTAACCAACTGAGCCACCCAGGCGCCCTGTTTGTTTGTTTTTTAAAGATCTTATTTATTTATTTGACAGAGAGAGAGCTAGTGAGAGCAGGAACACAAGCAGGGGGAGTGGGAGAGGGAGAAGCAGGCTTCCCACCAAGCAAGGAGCCCGATGTGGGGCTCGATCCCAGAACCCTGGGATCATGACCTGAGCCGAAGGCAGACGCTTAACGACTGAGCCACCCAGGCGCCCCGGAACAGCCATGTTTACTTATTATCTGTGGTGGCTTTCATGCTATAATGGCAGAGTTAAGTAGTTGTGATAGACTATATGGCTGGCAAAACCTAAAATATTTCCTCTGTCCCTTTACATCAAAAGTTTAATGACTTCTCCCTTAGATAAACTGAGTGCCATAAACTGACTTGGGAGTAACTAGTTTGGGCTTGTAGGACCTTGGGGTGAATATACTAGATTTTTTTCTCTCCACTCTTCATGCTGGCACCTTTTTAAGAAATTCTCTCAGAGTAGCAGTGGAAAGGGCCATTTTTAATCCTTTCTTGTTTTCCTTAGCCCACACTGACTTAACCCTGCCTGGCTCAGGGTTTGTCTTTGGCATCTGGGTTTTGTGGAAAGAGAGTTACTAGCCCACCCCATTTCCTTAGTTCCTCAGCATGCTCCCTTATGTAGTTAACTTGTCACAGCCACCCACTCACCTACCTAAGTGGCATTGCAGGCAGATTGTTATACGTGGGACTGTTGACCCCAGGTCATCCAGCAGGGCCGGGCGTTGCAGGGGTGATCTTCCCAGGTCCTCAAGCCATTAAAGGCCCTTTACTGATAGAAATACAAAGTGCCTGTTGTACAGTGAGAACACTGAGGTCCAACATTTACTTTGAGGAAGATGAGGGATGGGGTAGAGACCCACAGCCTGAGATGGCGGAGTAACCGGTTGTGACTCTCTTGCAGCTCCAGTGACCAATCAGCCGGTGACCCCCAAGGCCCTCACTGCAGGGCAGAACCGACCCCACCCGCCGCACATCCCCAGCCATTTTCCTGAGTTCCCTGACCCCCACACCTACATCAAAACTCCGGTGAGTGACGTGGCCATGCTGGGGACTGGGGCTGATGCAAAAGTAGTCCGTTCCTACTGACTGTCAGACTGGAGTCCATAAGTTTGTTGGTGAAAGGGTGGTTCAGACTCAGAATGTCTTTCCTCATTGACACACGATTTGGCAGAGGAGAATGTGCTCTTGTTTGCCAGGCTCGCAGTTTCGCCTCCCCTTGGGAAGGTGTGGTGGGCCCAGAGGTCTTCCACACACTTCCTTTGTCCTCACCTCCATCCCATGTCCTGGTGCAAATATGGCCATCAGGCAGGCTGTTGGGGCAAGTCCTCCAGGACATTTCTCCACACCTCAGGAATAATCTAATCACCCGCCATTGCAACACGGCCATTGCCCTTGACCAGTAGTCTCTGTATGAGTGTCGTAGGGCTGCATGCTGTAACGAAGTGCCACAAACTAGGTGGCCCTAGCACAACAGGAATGCATTGTCTTATAGTGTGAGAGGCTATAAGTTCAAAATCAAGGTGTCAGTAGGCTCCCTCTGAAGCCTGTAGGAGAATCCTTCCTTGCCTCTTCCTAGCTTTGAGTGGTTTGTAGGCAGTCTGTGGCATTCCTTGGCTTGTGGGTGCGTCCTTCCAGCTGTCTTCACGTGGCACTCTCTGTCTCTCCTCACGCCGCCATTTTCTTCTAAGGGCACAGTCTTAGGGGATTCGTACCACTGTACTCCAGTTCGACCTCATGTTAACTGACTACATCTTGCATTGACCTCATTTCCAAATAAGATCATATTCTAAGGTACTGGTGTTAGGACTTCAACAGCATATCTCTTTTTGGGGGGACACAGTTCAGCCTACAACAGTGTCTCACTCTTGTATAGTGTAGCTTGTCAGTAAAAATATTCAGCACATATTCCAGTGTTTGCTTATTGACACGAATGTAATGTGACACTATGCCAAAGTTATATACATTAACGGATAATCTCACCCTTATTACAGATTCAGGAAACGTGTTTGCTCCCTTATAGTGGCAGCCAGGGGATTGCCTCTGCTTTTTATTTTTTGAAATCATGGTTTAATACTTGGCGGGATAGTAAGTTGGAGGTCTGATCCTACGATCAGTTTATTTTGGTACTTGAACAGCTCTCACAGTTGAAAAGGCATATTGCAAAGCTGTGCAGCATCACCAGCTGCCGTTAAAAAATCATAAACCTAATTTTTTTCTTTCTCATCTACCAATTATTTGAAGAATCTTGTTAAAAATTTTCTATTAAATTTCCAGCTTCTTGAACGTCAAATGGTTATCTTTAAAAATAATTGTAAGATCTTGCATTTTAATGTTTTTAACAAGTATGTTCACAATCCACTCAAATTTTTTATTTGGGGAAGATCTTAAATATGTCTGAAAATGCTGTTTCTGTGTTTCAGTGTAGCTAGGGGAAGCATACATATAGGTGACACACTTGAATTAACATTGACAACAGTGGGAATGTTTCCAAAACCTCTTTTTTCTTTTTAGTAAACTTTTAATAAAATATCACAAACATACAGAAAAGCACAAATAATAAATGTATACTACGTGTACACACATGTTGAACTAGTACCCAGAACTAAAAAACAAAACCGAAAAACAACACTGTGAGGCGCCTGGCCGGCTCAGTCGGTGGAGCAGGTGACTTTTGATCTCGGGGTTGTAAGTTCAAGCCCCACGTTGGGTGCAGAGATTGCTTAAAAATAAATTCTTTAAAAAAAAAAACCCAAAACACCATAAACCAGCATTCCTAAAGGCGCCCATTCCCCTTTAGTGACTAGCCCCCAAAGGTAATCTAATTTTTATCACCATAAATTCTTTTGTTTGTTGTGCTTTATGTAAACTACGTGGCTTCTTTCACTCAACATTTTGTTTCTGAGATTCTTCCGTGTTGCTGGGTGTAGTTGAAGTTTATTCAACATATACATAATCTTTTGGCATTTGAGCTAATCCAGGTCTTGGCTTACACAAACGGCACTGCTGTGAACATTCTAGTAATTTTTGTAAACCAACAACTGTCATATACTCGTAATTTTATACATATGGTTCGACCCATGACATGTCTTTTAGTGCACGTATGTTTGCATTCTGCTGAATATATACCCAGGGGTGGGATGACTGGGTCATCGGGGATACATGTGTTCAGCTTTAGTAGATACTGCCAAGTGGTTCCAATACCTATTTTAAAAATCTTATCTCCATATCACGAAGAGTAGTTGCTTTTTTGGTCATGGTTAAAATGTCAGTTTTACCATTAACAGCTTCAAATGTTTTTGCTAACTTCTCATCCTGATGAGATCTCGGTTGTTCTTTACTCGATGATGTGATGGCCAAAGAGCTCATAATTAGGAGCCAGAGGAGGGTCATCCCACCATTTTCTTGTTCACTTGTGCTTACATTGATAGCCTCGGTCTGTGTTTCTTAGAGGGGCTCTTTTGGGACAACATATCCACTTTGTAAAGGGGTTTAGGAAAACAAGCCGATACTTAAGTGGCCACTCACATACTTTGGGATGTCCCATTACACTGATAGGGCTGGGTGCTCCCTGTCACGGCTTCCCTGGAGGGAGTCCCACTCTCCCTTCAGGGTGCGTCTCTTAGGCCTAACACCAGCTGTCACAGAAGCTACATGAAGGCCCGGGAGCATTTGCTTCAGTAAATGTGTATTTCTTGATTTTTAAGCTTAAAAGTAAATATTAGTGGTAGTTACATCATTTTCTTTCTGCCCCTCCACTGCCCTTGGGGATCTCGGCTCCAAATAATGTCAGTGGGCCATTGAAAGGGTAGAAGGAGATCGCAACAGCAAGAATGATCCATTGGTATTCCTCTAGTGTCTTTGCTCTTCTCTTTGCAGACGTACCGTGAGCCCGTGTCGGACTACCAGGTCCTGCGGGAGAAGGCTGCATCCCAGAGACGAGACGTGGAGCGGGCACTCACCCGATTTATGGCCAAGACAGGCGAGACCCAGAGTCTTTTCAAAGATGACGTCAGCACGTTTCCATGTGAGAGTCTCTCCCCTCTGGGGATCCTGTCTTGTTATTTGAAATACTCACTCCATCTTCCCTTTCTCTCAGCATGATAGGAAGAAATGAAAGCTCTGTCTTTGTCTTGGGGGCAGCTTGTTCTTCACATTTCTGACTCCTGTCCCCAGGTCTTAAAGGCCTGTGCCTAACTGGTGGCTGTAAAATGTTACAGCCTCTGTTGCAATCGGCTGTTTGAGGATGAGTTTGAGCTACCTCAAGGATGACTGACTGTAGGCATCAGAGAGACTCACCCAGCAGAAGTAGCAGCCCTGGAAGAAGGAGGGACACCGAAGGCAGGGGGTGGGGCACTCACCGAACACCCCCCTCACCCCCACCCTTCCCACCCCCTCGCCCCCGTCTCTGCCCTTCACCGTTCCTTTCACAGGCTCCACGTCACTAAATTTCTCATCTCAGCACTACCATTTCACTCTGTGGCCACGTTACCTCATCTCCATAGGCCTTGGGTTTTTCAGAGGTGAATGAGACATTGGTTTGGGTGATTGATGCAGTCAGCAAGGCCCTGTAGAATGCTCGCTGTGGGCCTGGCCCTGGACAAGAGCCGCTAATAGTTCAATTGCCAGACCCGGTGCTAATCCTTTCCCTTATGTTACCTCACTGAATCTTCTCTCGAACCTGTGAGTCAGGAACCTCTCCCACCACCATTAGAGGAAGCCGAGGCTTTTAGAGAAAAGAAATGAAGTCATTTCCCCAAAGCCACACAGCTGGTAGATAGGATTCACCCTAGCTCTTCCTGACTACGGGACGCCACAGCAAAAATAATCTCAGAGTGTCTCCTGCTAATCACGTTCTGCCATAGAAATATATACATAGATGATGTTTTTTAAATTTTTTTTTTTAATTAATAATTTCTTCTTTTCATCAATGCTTTTTGGAAGAACTGGAACGCTCACTTACCTGAAGTGCCCTCTAGCTTAGGGGGTGTATACTTAGATGCAGAGAGTTCTCAGGTCCAGTGTTTGGACTTGAGTCCTTTAGGCTGAAGAGATCAGTATCCCTGCTCAAGAAATGAAGCTGAGAGGGCTTAACTGACCTTGGGTCTAGGATCACTCAGCTGATACTTCGCTAGGATTCAGCCCCAGTTCTGTCTGCGTTTAGTTATACTTGGTAAAAGTGGGCGCTGAGGCCATATTGCCCGAATTGAGATGCCACTCCGCCACTTCCTGTGTGCTTGACGAGGTCGCTCCATGCCTCAGGGTCCTCCTCTGTAAAACAGGGCTGGCAATTGTACTTAATAGGGTGGAGGCAAGGATTAAAGATAGCGTATGGGACGTTGTGTGGCCCATGATGAGTGCTCAGAGTGTGTCAGCCATGACTGCTGTTCGTTGCCGCTCATGGATCTGTTGGAAGGCTCTTGGCCCACTGCAAGGACACTGACCGGAATGGTGCCTCTCTTCCAATTTCCCAGTGATCGCTGCCAGGCCTTTTACCATCCCCTATCTGACCGCCCTTCTTCCATCGGAGCTGGAGATGCAACAGATGGAAGAGACAGATTCCTCGGAGCAGGATGAGCAGACAGACACAGAGAACCTCCCTCTTCATATCAGCACGGTGGGTCCTGCCTTCTCTCTGCTTCATAGTACCCACAAAACTCATCCATGCTGCCCTCAGCCTGTCACCCTGAGAAGTAGACATGACCTACCCCGGGCCTCTGGTTTTGTGTCAGGGACTTGCGTGATGGGCTCATGATGATCCAAGTGTGACATGAGCTCTTGCATGAGAGACAAGTCCATGTCCTGGGGATCACTCATTCATTCACCAAATATTGAACAGGTGTCTGCCAGAGCCAGGCACAGTTCTGGGTACTGGAGAATTAGTAGGAGACTAAGGAGATAAAATTTCCTGCCCTCACATAGCTAAGAAAAATGATAAATTAGAAGATAGGAAGTAGTATGGGTATGAGGGGCTGTGGTACTGGATAGGGTGACTGAGAAGGTGACATGAAGGGAATAAGGCTTGTACATAGCTGGGAGTAGAGCATTCCTTGCAGAGGACACAGGAGATGCAAAGGCCCTGAGGTGGAAGCTGTTGTGTTGAGGCACCTCAAGGCCATCAAGGTAGCATGAAGAAGGGGGAGCTCCTGGGCAGTTATATCTTAAAGGTTGTATTAAACACTGGGCTTTTTCTCAGTAAGGGGGGAGCCATTGGGAATGCTGAGCAGAGGAGCGTCAGGGGCTGATGTAGGTTTATTAACAAAGTCATTCAGGTTGCTGTGTTGAGAGTGGACTGCAGAAGATAAGGGTAGAAGCAAGAGAGACCACTTAGGAGGCTCTGCAGTAAACTGAGGGGTGGTAGTAGAAGCAAAGACAATGAGACGTGGTCAGATAGATTATTTGGTCAGATTTTAGATTACTTTCAGAGGAGAGCCAAGCGATGGAGTGGGTATGAGTTGTGAGAGAAAGAGCGCGCCAAAGAGGAATGCAAGGCATTTCACCTGAACAACAGGAAAGATGGAGTTGCCTTCAGCCAAGATAGGGAAGCCCTGGGTGTGCCAGGTGGCTGGGGGGAGAGGCAGGAATTCCGGTGAAACAGGGTAGCCTGAGATGCTTATTAGACATCTGGTGGTGATGTCAGGCGGAGAGATGGATGTATGAGTTGGGAGTTCGAGGAGCTGTTAGGGGTAGAGATGCGAATCTGAGAGTCATCCACATGTAGACTGTGTTTAAAACCATGAGACTGAGTGAGCTCCTTGGGAATGGGTAAGGATAAAAAGAAGAGGAACTGGACTCCGTAAGTATAGACATGTGCTGTCCGTTACAGTAGCCACGTGTGTCTATTTAAACTGAAATTAGAGGTGCCTGGTGGGCTCAGTCGGTGCAGTGTATGACTCTTGATCTTGGTGTTGTGAGTTTGAGCCCCACATTGGGTGTAGAGATTACTTAAAAACAAAATCTTTAAAAATCTAAAAAATAAACCGAAACTAATGTAATTGAGATGTTAAAATTCAGTTTCTTAGTCACACTGGCCGCTTTTCAAATAGCCACCCATGGCTAGTGGCTACCATACGGGGCAGTACAGATACGAACGAACACTGTTGTCATTGCAGAAAGTTCCGTTGGACAGCACTTATATAGACAATTGTTTCAAGGAATTTGTAAAGGGAAGGAGAAAAATGGAGCAGTGGCCAAAGGGGGAACGCTAAGGGGTTAAGAGAGGCGTTTTTTTTTGTTGTTGTTTTTTTTTTAAAAAGATTTTATTTATTTATTTGAGAGAGAGAGAGAATGAGAGAGAGCGAGTACATGAGAGGGGGGAGGGTCAGAGGGAGAGGCAGACTCCCTGCCGAGC